GAAACCTCTGAAACAGCGCCGGGACCTCGTCCCCACTGCTGGGACGGCCCTTCGCAGCACTGATTATTTGTCTCTGTGTTATTTGTCTCCTATTTATCTATTATTTATCTACTCTTAGTCTATTATTTCTTCTCCACGGGATGGGAATGGGCCAAGCAGAGGCAGGAAGAAACACACAGGGAAGGCGATGGCATGAGGCAAAGTTCTCCTTTTCTCTAGTTTTCCAGAGCCTCACGCTTTCCTGCTGCCCGCAACCCATCCCCCAAACCCTCTTAACACCATTTAAACTGGAACCGGTCCCAGTTTGAGAGGGGAAAATGCCTAAGCAGGTTCAGAGCAAATGCCCTGTATGACCCTGTATGACGTCGGCGTGAGGCTGGGATCAAGCGAGGCACGCGCCGAGCTTCAAAAAAGGCCGCGATCGGATGAGGTTGCGTCATGAAGTTACCTGTCCAGGCTGTGTGCGAGAGGTAAACCTGAGTTATCAGCCTGTGCCTTCCAGGACCGGGATTTCGGAAGTCAGCTGGTTTAGGATGGATTATTTGTGCTTGTCCATCTGGATACAACACCTAAGGGGGAGAAAAAAAATAAAATAAAAGGAAACAACGGAATGACAGGACTGGGGATGGGCACGGCACGTGTTGTTTGGGTGCTGCCCGTCTGCGTTGGGAAGGCAGGGAAGCGAGCTCGATCCCGGAGTCTGGCTGCCCTAGGTCTAACAGCCACAGATTCACACCCACAGCACGGAGAGGAAAAAAAAGAGAAAAAAAGAAACACATCAAAATACATCAACACCAGCTTCCTCCTCTGCATTGCTGCGGTTCTTTGTTGCGGTGTCTGTCACACCCACCTCTTCAGCTGCACCTGAAACCAAGGATGCAGCAGCAGGAGGAAAGTGAAGCCGGGAGCCCACGGACTAAAACTGCCTGAAATCCAGCGCTGTTCCTGCTGGAGCGTGCCGTTATGTGCAATTTAGAAGTACTGACATCATTAAGCAACCGCCCCGAGGTACAATCCTGCTTGTATTTATGTCAAGCGACCGCTCACCTGAACTTTCACGGTTCCTTGGGGATCCTGCACATGTTCCAGGGTTGCATCAACATCCAGCGCCACCACCAGGCCCGAGGTAAAGCGCAGGGGATTGTCGGATTCACCAGTCGGCTCGATGATGTTGGCAGTAGCTCTGTGGAGCTGTCGGGGCCAAAGCGGTTGGCAAAAGTAAGGTGGGAGGAGGAGGAAAGAAAAAAAAATGACAATTAATTACTGCTTAACAGAGAAACTGCACGTGAACTTCGCATTCTTTTAGATACTGCCAAGAATTAATAAGTTTTGCGTAATTTTCGCAGTAGTCCTGAGGATGCTAGGTAAGAAGAAGAAAAACCACTCAGGACTGACCAAAAACCAGAATCCTAAAAACTTCCACGGTATATCAGGAACTAGGGAAATGCTGAGACAGCCCACGAGGATTCTGCATCTTAATTCTCGGTGTTACACTGACCTGCTCCGGCAGAGGAAGGTGAAGGAAGGTACTTTGTCGCAGGGTCGTCTGAAGAATCTTGACCACTTCCAAAGGCTTGGACGTCATGAGTCTGGGCATTAAGTCGAGCAATTTATCGACAAAACTACCTTGCATATGCGGGAGCTCAGCGATGAAACACCTGCGTTGAGAATAAATTAAAATATCAATTGCTTTTCTCAACATTGTCAACAGTATTGCTATTTCCAGCCAAGCTACTTAATCCTGGGCAGATCTTAGGTCCGTCATCGATACGGAGCCTGGTGGGCAAAGGCAGCTGGATCCCCAAAAAGAAAACCTAGATGTGCCGAGGTGCCCGTCACCACCGCGTTAAGAAGCAGATAACTGCAGGATTTGCCCGCTCGGGCTGCGCGTGCGGCTGTAACGCTGCCGAGGTGGGAGGAGCACTTGGTAAACGAGACCACGGGCAACTCCAGCGCTCTGCACCCAACCGCGAGCTCCCGACAGAGAACCAGAGCGGGACGAAGGAGCCGTTCCCGCCCGAGCTGCCTCACAAACCTCTGAGATTGGTCTTTCTCAGGAGACGTGCACAGGCCTAATTCTCCGACAAAACTGGCCGACAAAACTGACAGGCTCCAGCGTACCCACACGCCCAACACGCGAGTTCTTTGAACTGCTGCTGCAGCAAAGTTTCCAGCACAGTTTTTCCTCTACAAGAGCACAATTATTACATCTGAGGAGTGAATTTTTAATAGTGAACTACAACCAGTAGAGGGGGGGAAAAGAAAAAAAAGAGCTCGTTCTAGAGGTCAGGAACGGAGACCAGAATCCAATCTATAGCTTGGGACAACAGCCTCTCACAAGAAGAGTATTTGATATTTCTTACTCTTCATGCAGAAGTAAAATTGGGCACAGCAGATGCTTCGTCAGCCTGAGTCACGGGTGATTTCTCTGTCATTACCAAGCAACGTTCCTGCAGTGTTTAGCAAGACAGTTCGGAAAGCCCAGTAAATATTTGTGCGGCTTGGTGGAAAAAAACCTCCTCCCTCAGCAAGTCGGGTGTTGAGCTGGGTCTGAGCCTACAGAGCCCGGGCAGGGACGCCGGCCAGCCCCAAAGCAGCTTCAGGGCCTACAGCTCTACAAGTCAGGTATTTTTTTTGACGCAGGATCCTGGTGGTGCTCCACAGCAGCTCGTAACCCACTGCCGGAAGGTTCTGCCACTGGCTTGGCAAGGGTGGAGAAAAACAGAATCACAGAATCTATTTGGTTGGAAAAGACCTTTAAGATCATCGAGTCCAACTGTTAACCCAGCACTGCCAGGTCACCACTGCCCCGTGTCACTGAGCCCCACATCTCCCCGGCTTTTAAATCCCTCCAGGGATGGGGACCCTTTTGGGGAAGAAATTCTTCCTCATCTCTAACCTAAACCTCCCCTGGTGCAACTTGAGCCCATTTCCTCTCATCCTGTCGCTTGTTACTTGGGAGAAAAGGCTGAACCCCTCCTCTCCCAA